ACCACCCATGAAGACCAAGTTTCCACTTCCTTTTTTAAAAGCCTCCTCTTTCTGATCATTGTTTATTTTGATTTGGGGTGTTTTGATTTTTCTATCTCCCCTCCCCCACATTGTGTGTGTGTGTGTGTGTGTGTGTGTGTGTGTGTACGTGCACGTGTGTGTGTGTGTGTGTGTGTGTGTGTGTGTGTTCTTTGGCAATTTATTCCCCTCAATATACACTTCTGTTCCTGTAATAACACCCTCTGTGGCCTAAAGACTCCCTGGAACCACAGGGACAGCTTGGCTCCTGGCTCTCGTGGGGTCGCAGAAGGGGGTGGGCGTGTCCTTGGCCATGGGTTCCACATACCAGCATTCCGGAAGGCCAGGCGCTTAGATGGAGCCGACCTGAAGTGGACTGGCTTCCAGTTTCCTCACACCCAGCAGTTGTCCCAAGGCAAAGATGAGTCATCCTGCCACACTCTTGTACCGGCCCTCCCGATTTACCCGGAGGTGGCCATATTTCATAGCCTGGACTGTGGGCTTGCAGCCAGCCCGGGGCTGCCTGGGCAGGTGAACCCAGAGGGGCAGAACGTGGACACAGACAGGCAGGTATTGGGAAGTGAGATGCCACCCACCTTGCCATTCAGGAGCTCCAAAAAGTCTGGCAGCCCCTGCTGCAAAGAACTCTAGCCCCTTGTCACAGCCCCATAGACTGGGGGGCGGAAGGGCACAGTCCCTACTGCTTGCCCTTTTCCAGCAGATCATGGGTGTTGCACCTTCCTTCTCTTTTCCTATGGAAACCTAAATAGACACATTTCTTGCACGTTTCAAAGTTCTGAAGGCCTAATGACAGGTTAGGGGCACCTCTGCATTGAAAAGCGTTGTCATCCATTGTTCAACAAGCAAGTAAATAAAGAAAGTGAGTAGAGCTGGATACCCCAAGCCTCACCCATCACCTTCAGTGCTGGGCTCCTCTTTTCACTTACTGAAACAATCTGATTGACACCTTTAAGTTTCTCAGGAGGAAGAAAAGTTAATAGCTTATCAAACAAGGGACCAACCTATGGCAAGAGCCAGTCTAGGTTTGTGGCATATTTTCTTGTTCCATTAAGTAAGAAGAGAAGGTTGTGCCTCATAAACATTACTGGCGGCATGTGGGGAGGTGACATTCAAAGGAGACAGCGGGTGAAGAGTTTTCAATACATTAAAACTGCGGATCAAGGAGAAAAAAGACATTCCGTGTCTGTTTAATATGGAACATATGGGAGGATGGGGGATGCCTGCCATAGCGTGTTGGGAATGCAGTTGTTACCGAAAGATGTTCTCTATGTGCGCAAAAAGGGTTCTGGTGGCCAGGTTGAGAATTTGTAGTTAAATCTTCAGGGAACTGAGGCCTGCTTCCTAACGAGGTGTCAGAGCCCATCTGCAGGCCTCAGGCCTGTGCTCGCGGATTCACACCCCCATCTTCACACATCCACAAACGCGCCGTGGTTCTAACCCACACTTAGCTACACGCGCACAAGGGCACACACATGCCTTCTGTGTGCAGGCCCGCGTGGGCCCTATGACACTTGGCCAGTGGATCCCAGGACCGGAACTCCCTTTACAAGATCCTCGCGGCCCAAATTCCCAGGGAAACTTGAATAGAGGTGGAAAAGTGTTTGATGATAGGAAAAAAAAAAAAAAATCTGCTTGCTTGCAGTTCTTGCGACTGCCAGAATGCTACAATAAACTGTTGCTTTCCAGGGCTGGGGAGGGCGAGGGCAGGCAGGGGGAGGCAGCCGGAGCAAAGAGGCCGGAGAACTTGAAAGACGGAGTTGGAACACCGGCTGAGAGCGCCCGCGGGGCGGCGGGGGCCTGGCAGGGGGCGGAGGAGGACACGGGAAGGATTGACTCAGGAGCCGAGCGTGCAGCGGGGGCGGGCCGGGCCGGCCGGGCCGGGCCGGCGCGGGGCGCTGGCCCTTTAAGGCGGGCGGCGCGGGCCAGCCGAGCGCGGCTGTGATTGGCGCGGCGGGATCACTGGCTCCCCAAGCCCGGCCCGGGGGAGTCGGCTGGAGCCGGCTGCGCTTTGATAAGGTCCTGGCAACTCAGTAACAACCCGAGAGCCGGGAAATAAAAATAACCCCTCACTGCAATGGACTTCGGGGCCGGCCGGCGTCCGAGGCGCCCGTCTCCCCCGCCGAAAGCCCTGCTGTAAAAGGTGGGGGTGGAGGCGCGGCCCCAGCGGAGCCGCTTCAAAGAAAGCCCCCCTCGGACCGGGGGCGAGGTCGCGCCAAGCGGCGTCGCGGGCGCGGGGGGCGGGAGGGGGCCCGGCCGGGCCGAGCCCGGGCCAGGAGGGGCGGTGTGCGCCGGACGGCCCTGGGGAGGGGCGGCAGGGGCACCGGGGGCGGCCCGGGGCGCGGCCGGCGCGTACCTCCCTTTCAGGACCGTGCGCTCGGCTCGCGCCTTTGAAGTGCACAGTTAAATCCACAGCGCAGTTTTTGTTGGAAGCGCCCGGAGGACATTTGGTGCGCGGAGTGACTGCTGGAAACAGGACCTGTGTTGAAAGCCGGGCCGGGCGGGGGCCGGAGGGGCCGGGGGCGGCCGCGGCGGGGGCGGAGGCCCACTCGGGTCTTTTGCATAAAAGGGGCGGCGGAGCGCGCCGCTTCACCCTCCCTCCCGGTGGATCTCGCTCTAATCCCGGGATTGCTGTTTCCCCGCACCCCCCTCCCCTGCCGCGCGACTCCCGATGTTCCCCGACGCCGGGAGCGGCCCGGGGGGGCCCGGGGCTGCCGCTGCGAGCCGATCCGGGGGCCGGGGCCGGGGCCCTGCCCGGGGCGCCTGCGAGGTCTCGCCGCGGAGCGCGCGCGCGAATCAATGGTGAGTGCCGAGGCCGCGGCGGCCGGGCGGCCCGCGCGCTTTGATGTGCCGGCGGCCCTTTGAAGTTGGCAGGCCGGCTATTTCGGGGCGCTCTCCCGGCGGGCGCGGAGGGGAGCGGCGGGCCCGGCGCCCGGCGCTCCGGGGGGCTTGGCCGGGCCGCCCCGCGCGCTCTGCGCCTGGGGCCCCCTCCCCAGCGGGGTGGCGGGGCCCCCGGCGGAGAGACTTCTGCAAGTGGCGGCTGCGGCGGGGGCGGGGAAGGGGCAGATTCCCCGCCCCCCCGGGGGTCGCGTCGCTGTCGTTGTTATGGATGTGAGTCGGAGTGTGAGTGTGCGCGGGAGTGCCTTTGGAAGGTGGGATGAAAGGGTGGCGGCGCCCCCCGCCCCCCCCCCCCCCCCCCCCCCCCCCCGCCTATCCCTCCGCCCCCCTCCTCTCCTCCCGCCTCTCTACCCCCCTCCCCTCCTCCCCTCCCGGCCGCCGGTCCGCGCTTAGGGGCCCCGAGCGCTGGCCCAGGCTCAGTCTGCGCGCAGGAGCGGCCCGAGCCCGGGGCGCCCGCGTCCCCCGCGTCCCTCCTCCCCGCCCGGGCCCCGCGCCCCCGGCCACCCCGGCCCCTTTTGCGGAGAGGCAGAGACTCCGCGCGTCGCCATTTCTGGACTAAGCTGCTGCTTTCCGTGCCTTTTCTGCGAGCGGCGGCGCCGGGGACCGCCCCGCGCCCGGACTCGGGGTGCCGCGAGCGCCTCCCGGGGCTCTGGCCCCGCGCTAGGCACCCGCTCGCCGGGGCTCTGGACGCGTTCGGTTGGATTTGGGCCGGGGGGGGGCGGGCCGGTGGGGCTCGGCGGAGATGAGAGCCCGGCCTCGGGCCGCCTTCGTCTTCCAGGTAACGGGGCCGCCCCACCTTCCCTCCGCCCGGGCAGCGCGGCGCTACTGGCGGCCCCGCCACTCCTCCGGCCGAGTCTCCGAGTCCCGCGGCTTGAGAGGCCCCTCGTTTGGGGTCGCGCCCCATCCATCCCCCCACCCCCCGGCCCGCCCCTGCCCTCCTTAGTTTTATCCTTCCCGTGCTAGGAAAAGCGGCTTGTTTATTGGTTAGATAAGACTTTTTTCTTTTGGAAAAAAGACAGGATTGAGGTCAGTAGAGTTTGGGATTCTTGGCAGAGGCAGTGGTAGCTTGAGACGGTTTCTGATCCGGTTTTGTAGGGTTGGTGACTCCGGGAGGTGAGCTGGGGGCGGGCGTGGGGGCGAAGGGGGCGGCGGGTCCCGAGGCTTCTCTGCTTCTCTCTCAAAGTTTGAAGATCAAAGTCTTGTCTGAGTTGATTTCTGGTTTTGGAGAACGGGGAACACAGAGGTGTGTGTAGACTGAGCCGGATTCTTGGCGGGAGGCGGGGGCGCAGCGAACATTTACATCTGGGTGGAGGGGGGCGTTTTCCAGCTGGGAGCCCATTCCGCCCCTCGCTGGGCGGGCTTTCTTGGTCGAGGATCTTCAGAATTTTTAAGGAGTGGGAAGGGGGAGCGCCGAGGGAAGGGGTGGGTGGGGGGAATGGGAACCAGATGCCGGGGAAGGGCACGTTTGGAGCTCGAGTTATCTGTGCGGAGAGCCGAGTGGGGAAATTTACCGAAATTGGTTTCACCTGCACACAGCCGGGCGGCTCCGTGTGCGCGTCTTTGGAGTTGATGTTATCGGGGGGAGGGGAAGGGAGGGAAGCGGAGCCCGTGCGGAGCCAAGGCTGCCCTGCGTGCGCCCCGGCCGAGGGGGGTTTTGGAAGATCCAGTCTTACACCTTCCAAGCCCCTCCGCCCCCACCTCCCACCCTCCGCGCTCCCAGCCCACCTGCCCCGCCCCTCCCCCCCAATTGTGCGCAGGGAGCTCAGATTTCGCCTTTGAAAAAGCGGCGTCTGATACTTTAGATGAGCACCTCGCAGATAGCTGGGTTGCTTGATTTGAATTTGAGGAGTTGAAAAGCCTGTTTACTTTCTTGCTTTGATGTTGGGTAGATCTGGTTTTGATTAGATCAATACCCCTTTCTCTCTCCCTACCTCCCCCCTTCCTTTTCTTTCCAGAAAGGAGGCTCAGATGAGCCCCTGCTGACTTGAGAGAGCAAGAGAGACCACGCTGATTGCTGAGAGGAACTGAGGGAAGAGAACAAACTCCGGGCGGAGGACTCCCTCACCATGAGCAGTGCTGTGTTGGTGCCGCGCCTCCCAGACCCCAGCAGCAGCTTCCGCGAGGATGCCCCCCGGCCCCCGGTCCCGGGGGAAGAAGGAGAGACCCCGCCGTGCCAGCCCGGGGTAGGAAAGGGCCAGGTCACCAAACCCATGCCTGTGTCCTCCAACGCCAGGCGGAACGAGGATGGGTTGGGGGAGCCCGAGGGGCGGGCGTCCCCGGATTCCCCTCTGACCAGGTGGACCAAGTCCTTGCACTCCTTGTTGGGCGATCAAGATGGTGCTTATCTCTTCCGCACTTTCCTGGAAAGGGACAAATGCGTGGATACCTTAGACTTCTGGTTTGCCTGCAATGGATTCAGGCAGATGAACCTGAAGGATACCAAAACTTTACGGGTAGCCAAAGCGATCTACAAAAGGTACATTGAGAACAACAGCATCGTCTCCAAGCAGCTGAAGCCTGCCACCAAAACCTACATAAGAGACGGCATCAAGAAGCAGCAGATTGATTCCATCATGTTTGACCAGGCACAGACTGAGATCCAGTCGGTGATGGAGGAAAATGCCTACCAGATGTTTTTGACTTCTGATATATACCTCGAATATGTGAGGAGTGGGGGAGAAAACACAGCTTTCATGAGTAACGGGGGACTGGGGAGCCTCAAGGTCGTGTGTGGCTATCTCCCCACCTTGAACGAGGAAGAGGAGTGGGCTTGTGCTGACTTCAAGTGCAAACTGTCACCCACTGTGGTTGGCTTGTCCAGCAAAACCCTGAGGGCTACAGCGAACGTGAGGTCCACCGAGGCTGTTGAAAATGGATACAGGTAAGCCTGTCCGTCCGGGGAGGGGGCCGGGGGCTGGGGGACGGTGTGGACTTTGCAGATGTTTTGAGTTAAGTGGGGCGGGTGGTGGGATGGTGAGGCTGCTGAGGCTGACAAAGGTCTGTTGAGAGCTAGGACTGCTGGCCATGTACCCTTTGATCTTGACTTTTCGTTGTTTAAAGTGGTCTCGAAGTGCTGCACACACAGCTAAGTTTAAACCTGCAGTCTTCCAGGACTGACTTCAAACTGGCAAGCAGTATCATTAATGCGGGTTACTTATTATCCTGGACCAGTCTTAGAAGGCTGACAGAGAGAGAGAGAGAGAAAGGACAGCAGCTTTTGATGCCTCTGAGTCACCGAATACACTAAGCACCAGTTTTGGAAGGGGTCATTCACCACTGATCAGTAGCGAGAGGAATGAATGTGACTCGGGAGGCACAGGGAGTATTGTGCGCACCCACTGGACGTGGGGGTAAGTGCGATCTTCTGAACTCTTCTGTTAAGATAAGAGCCAGCAGTTGGCTTCACAACTGAGGTTGTGGTTCTCTTTGTAGCATTAGGTACTTGCCCGGCAAGAAACCCTCCTAACTAGGGAAGGTCCTGTGACTTTCCTGAGTAAAGGACCCTTAGCTTTAGAGTCTGCTGGTATATTCATCTAGGTTTTACATGCTTGCAGCCCGAGGGTCAGATTTCCGTTGACTGTTGTGTTGCTTAGTGCTGGTGGAGAAGAGTCTTGGACAGAGAGGACGGGGCCCTGGAGTACTTTCCCTTTTTGAGGCTTCAGAGATCAACAGTCCTTTACAGAATGGCCAAGTCTTAAGATTCTTGACCTTGGGCAGCAACTTCAGACCTCCTGTTAGAATGAGTTTTTCTGTGTTTCTCCCTCCCTCCCCTTCCAGATCCAGCCTGAGCCTCTCAGGTCTAGATCCGTTGCTTGTGTGGCATGCAGTGGGAGGGGTGGTGGGTACTTGATTGCTCTCGAATGTGTTAGCTTGCTATCTCCATCGTGTATTTCTTTGTGTGTTTGGCACCGGGGATGCAGTCTGGTGGCTGCCTCTGTGGAGACTGCCCTCCACTTGGAGGGTCAGGCCTCCAGTGTCCCGCAGGAGCAAGAGGGGCAGGGCAGCGCGGCTGAGCCTCGAAGCCGTGAGGTAGGGGTGGCCCAGAGAGTTGACTTTTTCCGCTGGGTGCAAAGAGCTCATTCTCCAGCCACCAGAGGGCGCTCCTACAGCCTCGTGCACCCCGGTTACCCACACTCAGACATCTGGTCTACACCCAAGTGGAACTTGATTGGCTTTTGAAAGGAAGCAGAGGATCACGTGAAAGGAGTTGTTTCAGCGTCTTTAAGCTTCTGGCTCAAGATACTGGGCCGGGCAGTCACCGGGCACCTGCTGCTTCTGCCCCATAACATTTAGGTGAATGTTCTGGTGAACGTGTGCTGGTCTCCTTGCTCTCCAGTTTGGCAGCCGTAGCCGAGACTACTTAAGGCCTGTGGTAAGGCTGCCACTCCAGGGGCTTTCCGACAGTGGAGCTTCTGTGTCTCCCAGGGTCGGGACCCAGAGTGCCCCCTTTGTGAACAGTGTCCCCTTTGTCAGCAGCACCGTCCGTGGTTTGTGTGTGGTTTGGGATATCACCGAAGAGAAAGTGCTCCCAGGCCGGACCCTGCTGCGACCCCTCCCCTTTGTGGGTGGGCAGCAGAGAGCCCGCCTGGGTGTGCCCCTCCCCCTTCCAGAGGCCTCCACTGGGATAGTACGAGGATTAAACTTTCCCAGAGATGACTCTTGTGAAGCTTTTGAGATCCTGGGGGCAGGGGCCAGAGATCCCTTGTGTTTCCAGTGCTTGCCCTCTTGGTTGTGGACTGTGGGCCTCGTTGATCTATAGGTGACACCTTCTCATCTGCCCCTGGAGTCGCCATGCTCTTATTTGTGTGCACTTTTTCGCACTGTTGGATTGAAATGAAGTGTTTTACCTGCACTACGGGAAGCCCGCACGTCTTAACTGGGCATCATCACAGGGAACTTACGACCTATCCAATTTCATCTGGACACGCAGGATCTTCAAGTGTACATAGGGTGTATTTGGAGGTGTCCCAGATTATTCCAAGGCCTGGGTTCCAGCCTTGTCTACCCATCACTACCTGGGTGGAAGTCTTTCTGAGCCCCACGTGTCCTTCTGTACGATGACTGGTCACCATCCCTCCTGCTCATGTCATAGGTTGCTCTTAGGATCGAAATAATGGACGTGAAAGCCCTGCGTAAAGGAAAATGTTTTGAACACTTGTAAAGCATTAGAATTCGTATGCTTTAATCATGATAAGGAGTGGATATGTGAAAAGGGCAGGCAGGTTAGGATCTCACTTTCGGAGAGTGCCTCTCAGCTTCTAGCCCGTACTCCCTGTAAGGTTTTAGAGTGGTCCGCCCGCCTTCCCAGGCCTCCACTTTCTCTGGGTGTTAACTGAAGCCTGTCTTTTCAGCCAGCCAGCTCTTGGGATGTAGGGATCCCATCCAACTCGTTCAGGTCTGCCTCCCCTTCCACTACACTCACTCATCAGGCAAGGTACGTGGCACATAGGATGGGCTTCAGAAGTTAGTAATGTGAATGAGCCTGAACACTCGAGTCCTGCCCAGGGGGGGTCTGCCTGCCTTAGCGTAGAGGGGCAGCCTTGGCAGCTGGGTACCAGGAGCGCTGGCCCGTCTTCCAAGCCCTGTGTTTACCTTGGGCACTCAGAGGAGGCCTCCTTTTTAATGACTTGTTTGTGTCCTCACGGATTTGGTGTCAGGTTTAATATAAATAGTTGGAACGGAAGAGCAGGAATTATCCTCGGAGGGAAGGGCTCTGGTTTGTGAGTGCTTGAGTGGGATGCCTGGGCTTTTGATGGGCTCTATAAATAACTTAGAGCCGGCGTGACCCGTTGGTAGAAGCACGTGTCAGAGCCCCGGCACACAGACCCAGAGTGTCGAGGTGTGTGTGGAGGGGCTGTGGGATTAGGAGCTCAGCCCGGCATGTATCTTGGGAAGGAGACCGTGCTGGGCTCACAGAGTGCTCCCTTGTGTCCTTCCCTGTCCGCCCCGGCCCTGGTGCCATCCTCCGCCAAGCGGGCCTCCTCTGCCTCCCGTTGCACCCCCTCTCCTCTGGTCTCCCTTCAGATAAGTCGGGCCTAGCAGATGGCCCTCTGCTGGCTCCAAGTGCTTCCTGTTCTCTGAAAGAACTCGCTGAGGAGGCCCGTTTTTGTGCAAAGCCACTGGAATCAAGCTTGACTTCAGTTATCAGAGAAAATGATGCCACAGGAAAGAGAATGCTGGGAGCAGCATCCTCCGGTTAGAGGCTGGGGTCTCTGAGGAAGGCATTTTGCTAAAAATGCACTTGTAAGAGTTGGCCTGTTTCTAAGGGCTCAGCTGCCCAGGGCCACCTGAATGCTGGGCCCCTCACTGAGCACCCCCCCGCCCCATCTTGCCTTAGAAGATGCTTCTTGAGGAGAAGGTTGCCTTTTGGGCAGTGACTTTGGAGTACATTGTCAGAGGGCTTTTGGCAAGCCCTAAGCGCACAGCTTTAGAAACAAATACTTGTCAAGTTGCAGTGTCTGGAGAGGGGGCCCGGAAGGAGGCCCCAAAGGTCAGGTCCGCTGTGCTCTCCGCAGGGCGGCTTGGCCCTGGTGTATGGGGAGGGGGCTGGGGCCATAGCACTGGCATCAAGAGAAGAGAGAAGAATAAGCTGGGGGGGGGCGGGGAAGCCAGTCAACAGTTTCCCTTCCCTGAAGGTCTTGCCAGGAGCCTCTGCTACCTGACAGCCGAAAGCTCTTTGCACATGGACGTTGCAAACAGAGATCTGTGGATGCCTGCCTAGTTCAGAATCAGTACCGTAGGCCTCGACTCTCTGTAGGAATTTAAAATCCTTGCAGCAACTGTGGGAGCACAACAGTCCTGAAGAAAATAATCAAAGCATCTGGGTACAATTACTGCAGCATGGTCGTTTCTCTCCTTTTTTTTTTTTTTTTTTAAGATACAAGAAAAGAGCTCTAATCCATTTTCTTAAAATCGTGTAGAGATTTTGACAACATTCCGGGTTCTTAAAAATTGAGTTTCTGTCTCTCTCCACGACCCTGCCTCCTTCCTCTGCTCCGTCCTCCCTCCTCTGTTAGATTGTAGGAAAATCCGAATGCTTTATTGCAGTCAAGCGAGCTCAGGGCAGTATATTCCATTTTTAATGACTGGTCACACAGGGAGCCCTCTATTTTGGAAGCGAGGGAGGACAGGTTTATTTTGGGACCCATGTGTTTTGTGATCCACTCCAAGGAGTGCAAAGCTGTGAGCACACATGGGATTTGAGTTCGGTGTCTTTCTGGTTGTGGAGGGAGGAGGGATTTCTACTGAGTCATTTGCTCCCCGAAGAGGTTGACTTCAGGACATTGGTCACTGAGTGACTACCACGGAGACAGCAGCCAGTGTCTGAATGCTCTTTAGGGCCACTGGGCCCTTTTGATCTGGTACGAATGCCTCTTAGACCAAAACACTTTTCAGCCACCCATCAGATGGCCCCAGGTCTTTTAAGGAAGTTCCGCAAAGCCTAGAGCTTCTGCCACGCTCCACCAACTGGGGAGCCGCTCGCAGAGAAGACACACCAGGTCCTTGCCCTCATGGAGCTTCCAGTCTGGCTGCACAGGACAGGCATTCGAGGTGTAGACACCCCAACGCCGCGTGACGATAAGTCACGGTGAATACCGCAGAAGAACGAAGAGCCCCCCCGACAGCTCTGTTTTCCTCGGCAGCTGGTTTTTTGGAGGATTACTAGTAACTCCCCAAATTACGGTGCCCTTGATTCTTCGGAGAATGGAAGAATTTCCTGCCGATAGCCATGTTGGAGCCGGGTGTTTTTCAGGCGGAGACCCCATGTCCGTGGAGGCGGTGCCTTGACCGTGGCCCCCTGCTGGCCGGGAGCTAAGCCGGCACCAGCGCTCCGCCTCCCCAAGCCTGTCCCTGCCAAGAAGGGCTTAGGGCGCTTTCTTACCCCCGGGTTTCTGAAAGCTAGGAGGGGACCCGGGAGAAGTTTCTTCGCCCGCCCTGCTTTGAGGCAGCCACCTGGCCCAAGCACCCCAGAGAGCGGGGAACTTTGGACTGTTCTAAAGACTTGGGTGAGTCCGTAACCTCATCCACTCCATGGGTCCCCTTGGACCGGCAGGCAGTGCTTTCTTCTTTCGGACTTAAAAGCCCATTTCCTCTCCCCCTGCCTTTAGTGGCAACGCCAGCCACGGCCATCCTCTCTTTGCTTTTGACTTCCCTTATCAACGAGGAGACATTTTTACTCAGTCATCCCTCCTCCCATCTCCTCTCTCAGAAAAAGTCAGCTGCCCTTCCTTTGCTCCCATGACTCCTCTCTCTCCAGCCTGGGTGTCTGGAAATCCCATATTGAGGACACGGGACCAGTGCTGAGGCCTCATGGAACAGCGTATCTGGGAGGTGGGGAGACTTCTTGCCCTCTACACTGAAGACGGGGCCAGGGTCTCAAGGACAGTTCAAGGTCACCTGGTCCAAGGTATTCAACAGGTTCAAGTAGGGACATTCCTCATTTGCAGTTTCTGGTCGATTCTGTGCCCATAGGCCATTTCCAGCATCTGGCTTTATGTTCCAGTCTAGCTCCGTAGAACAGCATCGTGGTCCCTGCTGACGTCGAGTTCCTATGGGAGTCTGGATGTGGGTTCCCTGTGGCCACGTCTCCAGCCAGGTGGCCTCTGGCAAGGCTTTTGGTCCCCACCTGGGGCTCTGCGCCTCCTGCCACCGTTGTGAGGCTGCAAGGTGACTGGGCAGTAGACGTCCCTTGAGCACCTACTATGTGCTGAGGGTGCAGCTGTGCCCAAAACAAAACAGAGAGCCTGCCTCTACTGAGTGTCCTGTCTAAGGCAACTTTTGATTTTTATTCACATCTCTAAACTGAGGAGGTTGGCTTAGGTTCGTTCTGGCTCTAAAACGTTCAGACTCTGGATGTAACTTTCCTCATTTGTGTTCTCACTCTGTCTGGAGTGTAGGCCTTAGAGATGGGGCCCGACTCTTCCCCAGCTTTCCCACCCCAGCTGCCCCCCGAAGAGGCCCTCACACCAAACTGTAGCCACGGCTCCTGCCCACACCCAACCCTCCTTCTGTCCAATCTGGTGGCACGGCCTGGGTCCCACATGCTGCTAGAATGTTTTGAACCTTTGAGGCTGGTCTCTATTAGGAGGCAGAGAGAGTTTGGATGAAAGCCAAAGAAATCCGTGTCTTGCCATGACCCCCAGTATTGACTCGGGCAGGCTGCTGTCCTGTGGGGCCACCCCAGGCGCTCTGGTGAGGTGTGCCCAGGACACCTCCTCCCCCAGGTGGCTGCAAGCTCGGGAGGATGTGATGTGTGTGAAGGCGCGCCCCTCTTTGTGAGCCTGTGCCTTCCCAATGACACCCCCTCCCCCGTTATGGTGACCAGGCCACTAGTGCCAGGAGACCAGAGACCCAGGCGGGGCCCATCCAGAGCCCAGCACCGTGCTACCCACAGAGGAGCTGCATAGGAGCTTGGCGATGGCATGTAGAGGCTGCTTTGACCTTTCATGAGTCCCTTTCATCCGCCACCCCCAGCACCATCTTAAGAGACCTGTGCAATGGCCTGATGGAATGGGTTCTCTCTTCTAGGCCTTCCCCTTCACCCCAGGTGGTTTCTTTGCTGTGGGCTTAGAGCGGTGGCCCCAGTGGAGTATGCCGGGGTCTTTGTCAGCGGGGCCTCTTCTGACTTCGGGCTTGACGGGCCCCTTCCTGGAGCCCGCCAACCACAGTGGCCCCCTCCTCCTCCTCCTCCCCCCACTTAACGTCCTTCGCTGGTGACACAGGAGGAATGCAGCCCAGCAGGGGACCGGCACACTGGTGGCTCTGGGAGGTGATCAGGAGGGCAGAATGGGGAGGCAGAGGCCACTGAAACAAAGGGCAGGAGACACTGGAGGAGAGGCCTGGGCCTTCCTTTGAAACAGCTGTGCTGCTCATTTGAATCCTGCTGGTCTTGATCTTAGCCTAGCCTGGTGTGGGGTGGGGGGACAGGGCCCAGTGGAGGCCCAGCTCCAGGTGGGGTGCAAGTCCTGAACCTCACCTTTAGCTTTTCTGTCCCCTCTGTCCAGTGTCCTGGGCCCAGGGTGGAAATGAGAAGGCGATGCCAGGCCTTGGGTTGCTTGAAGCTTGGAACTATGCTAACAGACCCCAGATGGGGAGTTTGGATGCCTAAGACCTCTTGGGGCCCTAAAACCGTGGTGTTCTAGTGCAGGCTTAGATATGGTGGTGGGGAGGGAGAAGACCCTTTGCCTCTACAGAGTTACTCTCCTCTTTGATTTGATAGCCTCCCCTCCTAGAACAGAGTCCTGTGCCTTCCTCTATCTGAGTGTGTGTTTAGCCCTTTGTAGGATCCCCTGGGCTGCTTGTGGACTCCTCTGTCCCCTGGCAGACCTGCCCTTGGGCAGCAGGGGAACCCAGCCTGCTTTCTTCCCAGGGTGAGCTGGTGGCTCAGCTGCCCTCCCTTAAGTAGCCCCAGCTGTCTGCCCAGATGAGCGACTGGCCCCGGGCAGCAGGTTGGCATTCACGCACGGCGGGATCATGCCCTCGCTTGTCCCCGGGTTGCCTGGTGCAAAGCTGTGATGCACTGCTGTTGTACTTTTCCTGCAGGTCCTTCAAGAGGAGCGATCCTGTTAATCCATACCACGTAGGTTCTGGCTATGTCTTTGCGCCAGCTACCAGCGCCAACGATAGCGAGATATCCAGCGATGCACTGACTGATGATTCCATGTCCATGACGGACAGTAGCGTGTAAGTATCCTGGTATCCCCATCATGTATATGGCTGGCAGCGTGACCCACCAGGCCAGCTGGGCAGAGTCCTCAGCCCTCCTCTGCTGGCTTCACAAACCCCATCCGGGTGTGTACGTACGTTTGCTTGGTGGGAGGGGAGTGTGCCAGCACTGCGGTGCAGGGTTGGGAGGGCGATGGGGTCCTGAGTTTAGAAAGCCATCTTCTGGTTGTCCTTTTGCCTTTCTTGCCTGGATAGAAGTGCATGGCTGGTCCTGAACCCCAAGGCGTCCAGTCTGCAGAACCAGCAGGTGGGAGACGGGGTGGCGTGGGAAGGGTTTGTGTGCATTGTTTCTGAAGGAAGAGGCATTGAAGGTGAGGGGCAGAAACCCAGAGTTCTCTCTGGGTCCATGTGCATAATGTTCCCTCATGGAAGTGTTCAGGTGGACAGCAGTCCGTTCACTAAGTGTTGGCGGAGTGCCTGCTCTGTGTCAGGTTCTACCGCTAAGTGGGGCTTCTCTCCAAAGTCGTCTGATCTTGGATCTTTTGAAGACGAATGTATCTGGCATACTAAGAGTTTGTTCCTTTATTTAAAAAAAAAAAATTTATTATTGAAGTATGGTTGACACCGTGTTCTATTGGTTTGAGGTAAACAACATAGTGATTTCACAATTCTGTATGTTACTCAGTGTTCACAACTAATAAGTGTGGTCCCCACCTGTCACCGTTTGAAGTCATGCAGTGGTGATCTCTGGGTGGAGAACATTCTCCCTGAGTCTCATCTAAGGGGGTGTGTGTGTGTGTGTGTGTGTTGAGCCAGGGTATCCCCATCTCTTTCCATCCTTTGAGATTCTGATTCAGGAGAGCCGAGGGAGGTGAAGCCTGGGGTTGGGCAAAAGTCCCCCAGGAGCTCATGCAATGTCCAGTTTAGAACTACCACTCTGGAAATGGTCTTTGAAGATGTTCCACAGGTGTGTTTGCCATAGGAATCTCCTTTGCCAAGGGGACAGTTTTGAAAGGCAAACCCACTGAGCCATGTATTAATGGTGTATGTAGAGTTTGTTCCTTTTAGGATCCTCACACCGGACCATCTCTTCTTCCAGTTCGTTTGAAATGATCTGGTTTCTGTTGGCCAGTATCCTGTGTTTTGGCCTGTGGCATGGAGCCAGTTGGAAGGGAGGTTGATGAGGTTGGTTTGGGATTCTACTGTTGGTTTTCCCAGTGGCTTTCCTTGTGTTATCTCAGACCCCCCTGTCAGTAAGGGGAGAGAGCCACAAGGTGACAGTTTCCATTTTAATACAAGAAGAGCCTTTTGGCATTAATGAAAACAGAATAAGGGTACACCTCCTTCATCCAACATGCAGAAATGCGGGGTTCCATGGAAGTTAGTTTTCCATCCATACTTGAGAAAAATTACCCTTTGATGGTCACAGTCCTTAAAATAATACCTTTTTGTTCTATTTTAATTAAATAGTATTAGGCATAATTTATTGCTTGATCTCAATCATTATCAAGATCTGTTTCCATACCATACTGTAGTGTTACCTCCTAGCGTACAAGGCCATGTAAGGTTGTCTGCCCCTCCACAGACATACTGGCAACACCCCCACTTTTTAAAAATGGTTTTTCTTTTTTCTCTTGGTCATTCTGCTGTCCTGTTTTGCTCCTGTCTGTGTGCTTGCTTCTAGCAACGTCATTCCTTTAGCTTCTATCTGGATTGCGTGGCAGTGGGGAGGGGAGTCTTAGCGTCTTAAGAAAAAGGAGAGTCAGTTGGGTTGGAATGAGGGTGTTGAGTGAATCTCCTAGGTCAAATGTAGTTAAGACTTGTAAGGCTTCTGTTTGGTTTTCTTAGAGACTGTTTTTGGCTGGCTTTCAGGCCCTTGCGGTCCCCACCATTGAGGCATTGTTCTGGATTCATGATGAGTTAACTTGGGTGTAGAGTCCCCATACGTGTGTGAGCCTCACGAGACCCGGTCAGAAAGGTAGGCGGTCACCTGTGACTTTCACAGCTGGGACAGTGGGGCCCAGGGCTGGTGCAGGAGGATGGAGCTCTCATTCAAAGCCCTTACCCTTGGCCTGTCACGCCCCTCCCCGCAGACATGAACATTTCCAACATGAGGTGTGGGGAGGACCAGTTGAGAATGAGACCTTTGAGCCACTTTGAGTTTCTTTTACTTATGAGGGAATCACACTGCTTTCTTTTTTAATGCTTTGGGGGAGGGGTAGGAGGGAAGAAGTTCTAACTCCTCCCCAGCACTGGCCTCCCCCCACCTCCCTTCATTATTCCCTTCCCAGAAGAACTTGCTCAGTTTTTCTTTTTAGAGATGACTTTAAAGTTCTCACCCTTCCCACGTCAGCTAAGACATTTGTGGACTGGAAGCCCCGGCTAGCCCCCGTCCGGGATTGGGGGAGTTACCTTGGCCAGTCAGCTGTTCTAGGTCGCCGGGGTAGGGCGGGGGCCAGTAAAGCCCACATGGCTATAGAGACAGAAAAGGGCCAGCCCCTCGATGTGCCGCTTTCTCTTTGGGGCACACTGGGTACCCCTGGGTCCCGAGTGGCAGGACCTCAGCGTTGTCAGCAGCCTTGGATGGGTGTGAGCAAACCAGGACATCAAGGCTGAGGGAGCGCGCCTGGAAGGGTCGGAGCCCCTGGGCCTCAGTGTTGGGCCTGACCTTCTTGGCGTCAGTGTTGGGGGTCTCGGAGCCTTCTCCCAGCCAAGTGGGCAGGTTATCCTGAGCGGCCGGTGCAGCTGTACCCACTCGGGCAGGTTCATACCAACTCGGGGCGAATTTCTCATCAGTGTGGGATCCTCCTCTCTCTGGAGTTGTTTGTCCAGGGCAGCTTGCTTCTTGCAGACCACAGTGGGGACAAAGAGGTCTCTGGAATAAGAGCCCATCATCTGGATGGCTGGTGGGGGGGGTTGGGGTTCCTGTGGGTCTCGGGCTGCCAGGCCCTGGGGGTCCCTGGGCCCTCCTGCCCGTGCGCCCCCCCCCCCCCGCCCCATAGCCTTGGCGTGCACCGAGAGCCCGGGCTGTGCGAGCCGCTTTCTGGCCGGCTGGCCCTGGGTGTGTGTGATCTACCCAGTGTCGGGGGGTCACCCGGGATTCCCAGGGCTGGGATTAGACCCCTCTTCACAGCTCTGCCAATGGCCTCGCACAGATGAGAGCACGGAGCAGGCGAGAAATAAAGTGTGTGGGGGATGAAAAGCTGAACTGAACCGCTTTCAGCCCATTGTTCTTCTGGGGAAGCTTAGCGGGGATAAGAGGGTAGCAGGCCCCTTTGAAATTTCCTTGAACAAGTGAATAGGAGCGCCCATAAAGCATGAAAAGAGCCCTGGCTGTTTTTCCCCGTCACAATGGGCGGCTCTGGCTGCCAGGGGGGCTGCCAGGGGCTGGGGAGTGGGGCTGGCCATCCTGCTGGGAGCTGGGGAGGGGACCCAGCCGGGGAGGGGGAGAAGGGGTCACAGGAGGCCTTCAATAGACTCCAGAAGGTTGGAGTTCATTAGACACAAGCCCGGGAAGCAATCGTCCCATTTGCGACAGGACCAATTAAGTCCCGGGGGCCTTTGCAAGACGGCCCGAGTAGAAGCTGGGCAGGGCCGGCCTGCACTCGGTTGTTCCAGGGAGCCCTGCGCCGGGGGGCCTGGAGGGTCAGAGTTGGCGGGGGCTCGAAAGAAATCCCTGCCTTCTCCCAAAGCCCACTGCTGACTTCTGTTTTCCCGCTAAGTAAAAAGCCTGTGAAAGCTGGCTGGGGATTCCGGCCTTCATAGTAGGCCTCTGAGAAGGCTGTTTTATGAGCCTGTTACTCTGAAACTTGCCTTCTCAGAAGAAATCACTTTCTATTTGGGGGTGGGGGCGGGGGGGGGAGTTAGCTGCCAGACTCCAGCCAAGTCCTAAGGCCCAGGCCCTTGGAGTGTTGGGCGCAGAGGCTCATGGGGCCATTCCAGGGCATCAGGCCCAGGAGGATGCAGCCGGGGGCAGAAACCATGGCAAACAGCGGGTTCTGCGCTGCCCAAGGGTGGCTCCTGTGTTTGGGGCAGCCAGGAAGCGTGGAAGCTACGCCTATGACGCGGGGGGGCGTCTCTCGGGCTTCCTTTTTTGTGCAAAGTTGCTCTCAGAGTCAGGATCGGCCTGGCGTGGAGGTCTCTCCCGCTCCGGGTGTCACAAAACCAGCGCCAGATAGTTCCTCAAGGTCCCTGCGGAAGGGTGGCACAGGTTCTTTTATTTACTTACTTGTATTTCCTTATATCTTATTCATGGGTTTACTCTGGGCACCAGGGAAGGCACCCAAGTGAAGTTCAGATCTGATCTGATCTTACAAAACCAGGCTTTTGATGTTGGCAGCAATCAGAGGCTGCCTTCCGAGTGCTTGCCAGATGGGAATGGGAGTGGACACGTGTGTGAGGGAGTCGGTTACTGCTAAGCCTTGGGAGGACTGCGCTCAGGTTAGGTTGGGCCCAGCGGAGTCCAAAGGCTAAGCTAATTGGCTTGGCTCTAATGGCAGCAAAGCGGAGTCCACGCTTCAAAACCAGTGCTCCCCAGAACACAGCTGGGCCCAGCAGTGGGCTCGTTAGCTAAAATGCTTGTAATTAAAGGAGGACGGTATAGGGACCAAACTCAGGCACTCGGCAGCTCACCATGCTGAGCGTCTGGGAGACAGATCATAAAGTTCGAGAGCCTGAGTAGGGAGAGTGGCCCTCTTCTGGCACGCGCGGCTGTTTGGAAGAAGATTCTTGGCTGGTGGGGAGGTAAAGCCCTGTTTCCATGAAGGCACCTATTAAATACGCCTTGTTGAGCCTCTGCAGGTTGAGCTGTGTCTTCTCTGCCCTGGTCACAGGTCTCCTGTCCTGCACTTGGCTCCTTCACCTGCCCTGGGGGTGGTGCCGAAATCATTTGTTTCTTTTATCTTCAGTCGGCCAGGCACCTGCTTCTCCCTGCCTCCCCCTTTCTATACGGACTTCCCCAATGCTCTTCTTTCTTCTGCTTTGTATGGAAAAAGCAAAAGAGGTATAAAAACCTTCCCACTGATTTCCATCTGGGTGGAAAGGGGAAGAGCAAGAGGCTATAGAGACTTGAGGACAGAGTCTTGGGGGAGATGGATGGGGAACTCCTGTAGGACTCTCGAAGCCTTGCAGGCGTCACAGTGAAGTCCATGGGGGGCTTGACTACTGCCCGCCCAAGATTGTCAGGAAGAGCCCTGGGGCAGGGGCCAGCCACCCTTTTGAAGTCCGCAGAGGTTGCTGGTGAGGAGAAGGGCATGTACGTTATTCATGGGGCAGCCCTGGGGCAACGGAAGTTGGTTAGATCAGTGTGAGACCCAACCTGGGACACCCCCATGGTCACCCTCACCCCACAGTGAACATTAGGCAAGAGACAAGGGAAAGGGGATCCTCACTGTGCCTTGGAAACCACCTGGCATGCCCCATAGCCAGTGAGTACCAAGTGGTGGGGTAGGATGTTCCAGAATTTTCCCCAAATCTTCCATTTGCCCCTTCAGAATGTCATGTTATTTCACAGGGCCTAGGAACCGGACCCTCAGGAAGCTTGGCTCCTCCGGGCAGGGTGGGAGGGTAAGTTGCTGAGTTAAGGACACCTGTTCTGGAGTCTGGCAGTGGCTCAGATTTGGATCCTGGGTCTAACTGCTACTGGTCGGCCCCAGGAGAGCTACAGCGGTTCTCTGACCGTCTGTAAAACTTGGTGAATTTGGGTTGAAGTTGGATTATATGTCACACATGTCTGACCGACAGTGGGAACACATACCTCGGGGCGGGCAGCCTCACGTTGGACTCAGCCCCTGATGTGGAATCTGGTTACTGGTCAAGGCAGGCATGCTCGTGAGCACCCACTTTTCTTCCATCTTGTAGGTGATCCCAAGGTGAAAACACTGAGGTTTGGTAAATATACACCAGGTGGTTCAGTAAGTTTCTGGACTTAGAAGCTTTTATCCTACCTGGCTTTTGAGGGCCTGGTCAAGTTAGTGGGAGGCTGTGAGAGACTTAGCCTGTACTGGTCGACTGGTGTGCTCTCTCAGGCCCTCTTGACCTTTTTCTGGGACAGGACTCACCCTTGTGTGTATGTTCCTGCTTTAGATGTATATATTTTTTAAAGGTTTATTTATTGATTTTTAGAGAGAGAGCACACAAGCAGGGGGAGGGGGAGGGACAGAGGGAGAGAATCTTTCAAGCAGACTCCCCGCTTAGTGAGCAGCCCGATGCGGAGCTTGCTCCCACAACCTGTGAGATCATGACCTCAGCCGAAATCAAGAGTCAGGCGCTTAACCGACTGAGCCGCCCAGGTGCCCTCTGCTTTAGATATTGATCCCTTTTCTCCCCCTGTACCCTCAATAAAATGATCCTTTCTGTGCTAATTCCTAGCCAAACTTTGGCTAACCTACCTCACGGATGTATTGACTGACCATGATCTGTATCATCCCCATGGTGGCCCTGTGATCTGGCTTAGGTCAACAGATTTCTGGAAAATGCAGCCACTTGGAATCCTAGGGCATTACAGATGAGCTGGAGGTCAACCAGTTACCCCTGGCTGCTCCTGGCTATTTTTAGAAATTGCTGATTTTCACCCACGGCTGGTGAGCCAAAGATGTTTTTCTTCCTTCCACTCTGTGATGAACAAAACGCCGGGAAAAGGGAAATAACCAAATACCTAATTTCAATATTTATAGCCTCCAAGTGTGACTCACTGTGGGAATGTTGGAACCCTGAAGCTTTTGTCAATAAGTGGCCTCTAGAAGGGACGGCAGTGGGGAAGGAGTCACACCTTGACCATTTGACCGCTTTCAAGCACAAAATTCTTGTTTTAAAAAAATCATGGCAACTCCAGGTCATGTCTTAGTAAAGACAAGCTGGGGTGGATGGAGGCTTTCCTTTACTTTTCTTACCTCCTCCACTTGCTTCCTTTTTTTTTTTTTTTTGGAATACAATGATGAAGGACATAGGGGCTCATCCTGCCTGCAGGACTTTGCTCAAAGGTAACCTTCGCAGCGAGGACTTCTTTGGTAGCCGCCCCCCATGTTAAACTGGAACTCTCTCGCCCCCACCCCATCCTTTCTTCCCATTTCCTGCCCTGTATTTTGTCCCAGTACTTAACCACTTTCCAACATGCTATAGATTTTGCTTTGATATTTTCCGCTTCTTGCTTACCACCCATTAGAATATAAGCTTTGTGAGGGCAGTCTTCTGCATTTTTGTCCTCTTCCTTCACTGCTGTCTCACCCGGCACCTGGAACAAGGTCTCGCATAGTCGGTACTCAAATATTTGAAATTGCCTGGAGTGCCACATAGTAGGGGCTTTCTCTTTATGCCCACATTGGTCATGTGTCCTTGGGAATTCCTTAGTTTGGGGGGTGGCAGGGTTTGGAGCCAAGGGAAGGAAGGAGCCCAAAGATACTCTTGTGGCTGATTTGTAAGAGGAAGACATTTGGAAACAGTTGGGGGCTTGACTGTTGGAGAATGACGCACCCCTTCATTAATGCCTGGCTCGGCGTTCTGTGGGCCTGGTCCCTCTTCCTGTGGTATTTTGCCCCGGTGTGCTCCAGAAGGCCCTGGCATCCTGATTTGGGGCAGTACAGTCGACTGTAAGGAGGACCAAAGGGGCCTCGGGTTCTCCTGCTTGGGTTACCTGTAAGATAAAATGGGGAGCCTTCACTTTGGGCTGGCTAGAATGTAGCCAGTTCCAAAGGCAGAGCTTGAAGGAGGAGCTTACCAAGCTCTTTCCGAGCTGTCGATCCTGAATCTGAGAGGGAGCCAAGTTGACAGAGGTGACTGATGAGCAGAGGGTCTGGCAGTTTGATCTTGGATTGGTCTTTCCCCTTGGGAATAGCCATGGGGCCCAGGACGGGGGCACACGTGCATGGAGGCGTGCGAGGGCCCCGTCTGTCGGTGGGATCTCAGGAGGGCTTGTGAGTTAGCCCACGTGCTGGAAGCATCCTCGCGAGGCTGTGGGTTCTGTCTTTTCCCTTCCCTTAGAGATGGAATCCCTCCTTACCGTGTGGGGAGTAAGAAACAGCTCCAGAGAGAAATGCATCGCAGTGTGAAGGCCAATGGCCAAGTGTCTCTACCTCATTTCCCGGTGAGTATAGTCCGGAGGGGGAAGGCAGGTATTTCTGGCCATGTTGAATCTTGCAGAAGGGGAATGGGAGGTGGAGGGGGGAAGGTCTACGACAAGAGGAGCAGCAGTGCCGGGGGTGTTCTAGGGGAAAGGGAAGAGAGGGAGGAGCCAGGCGAGGGGTGCTGCCTGGTTCCTTGGGGTGTGATGCTGAGCAGAGTGAAGCTCAAGATGACCTACTTGAACCTCTACGTTTTCTCAATTGAAAAAAGAAAATTCTTTTCAAAAAAGAAGCCAAAGCAGTTCTCTTCCAGAAACCAAGCAATGGCAGGAGTTAAACTGTGCTTCCTTCCATGGGTTCCCACTAGAATGGAGGCCCCCTGAGGGCAGGGAGTTTTGTCTATTCTGTGAAATGCCCTGTCCACAGCAATTAGAACAGTGGCTGGCTCGTAACAGGTACTTACTAAAACGTGTTGATTGAATCAGCAAATGAGGCTAGAGGAATCTCTGCCTCCCGCAGAAGGGAGATTGCATCCCTGGGACATTTCTCCTGTTGACTTCCAAAGCTCTGGAGGGCAGCTGTCCCGTCTTGTCCGTTCCCAACCCCAGAACTTGCCTTAGAACCTCCTGTTGAATCTGCACCTAATGAATGAAGCCTTTGGAAGGTAGGATCTCATGAGCAGCTTCCCCCTGTGATTGACATGAGAGGCCAGCTTGGCGTGAAGATCCTTTCCTGGTATCTCCTCTTCCATTTCCAAGTCCTGGAGGGCAGCCAGCATGTGGCCCCCTCAACTCAGCAGAGCCCCCTTGTCTGTGTTTTAGGAGCTGTGCTCCTTGCCATACACTGACATCCAAGATTGCGAGAACACTGTTTCTTGGGGAGGGGAGGAGAGTGCCCAGCTTCCAGCGGCATCTCCGCTCACGAATCCTTCCGGCCGGCTTCCGAGAATTCAGTTGGCCCATCAGTGATGTTGCGTTCAGAAAATTAACACACCCAGTTGCTAATCCCATGTTGCATTACTGGATTGTTTTCACTAGAGCAGCTCCCCTCTGAAAGCCCCTGACACAGTCCAGGGAGGACTTGACTTGGTCTGAAAATTTAGCATATTACAGTGCTTTCCTGGGGCCCTTCAGCATCCCCCTCCTCAATAATATTACCCCGCAAATACAGCAGTATTGAGGATACAAGTGTTTTTGGGCAGGCTGTGGGGGTGCAGGGGAGTATGTGTGTGAATAAAAGTTCTACTGCCCAAGCTTGTAAATTAGATGATTTTGTCCTGGGGTGTGCAAATCGACTTTCTCCGAAAGGCAGCGCTTTGATCCAGGCTGAGCCGAGACAGCCTGCATGAGAGCAGCCGGCTCCTGCGGGGGGGGGGGGGGCTTGGGCTTTCTCTACCCCCCCCCCCCCCCACGCAGTTCCAGGCTCAGTGGCTGCCGGTCGCCATCGTGAGCCCAGCTCAGCTGCAGGGGGAATGCGGGCCTTTGCGGGTTGGCTTTGTGCCGCCCCCCACCCATGCTGAAGGAAAGGGCAGAGCAAGAGGGAAATTGAGGCAGGAGGAAGCCGACACCCGAGGGGAGGGAGTGGCGGGAGGACTGGCGGAGGACGGAGAGCCGGGTGGTGGCAGTCCTCTGTTTGCTGCTTTTGGCAGGCACCCTCCGTGCCTTTTTCTATTCTGTACTTGATTTGGAGATGTTCCCTTTTCCCTTGATAGACCAGCTTCAGGCAGCCCAGCTCAGCGGTGCTCTGCTGCTAGCCCGCAGCATCTTCCTTCATTTTCTGTACAAAGAGCCGGGGAGGAGGGGCACAGAGAGCCGGGCAGATCTAGGACAGTGTTGAGACAACACCACCTCAAAGGTGCGCAGTGTGCGGCCACGAGATAAATTACCGCTTCTTCTGATCCGGCCGCGGGCCGTGCGACTCCTTTTTTTTTTCCCCCCTTTTCTTCCCCCTGCCCCCACCTCCCTTCCAATCTTTTTTTTTTTTTTTCAAATTTCCAGCTTCCTTTCTGTTTAGACTCTACTTTTTATTCCTTGAGTTGGTCCCTCTCCCCTCCCCACCGCAGAGGGCTGCTTTTTTTTTTTTTGATGTTTGACAACAGTCTTTGAAGATTCTCTACTTCAGAGTAGCTCCTGATGGGCTGGTCATACCACAGAGAGAACAAGCGGGGCCTCTCGGAGCGCGACCAACTGCTCCTGCCCAAGGCGAACGCCGGTGGGGACCATGGCTCTCCGTGAGGCCGCGGCGCCGGCGCATAAAGCTCCTGAGCAGCCCGGGCGCCCTGCCTGCCGCTCTCCGCCCACCCGCCCGTCCGTCCATCTGTCTGTCCGTGCGGCTGTGGCTGCGCCTAGGGCCGAGGCCGCCAGGCCCGGGAAGCTCCGGCGGGGGCGCCGCCGGCCCCGCCGAACGTGCCTCATGTCTTCCCTGCCCGTGCCCCATAGAGAACCCACCGCCTGCCCAAGGAGATGACCCCCGTGGAGCCCGCCACCTTCGCGGCCGAGCTCATCTCCAGGCTCGAGAAGCTGAAGCTGGAGCTGGAGAGCCGCCACAGCTTGGAGGAGCGCCTGCAGCAGATCCGAGAGGTAGCACCGGGCCCCGGCCCTTCCCCGGTCTCCGCGTGCCCGCGCCACCCCTCGCCTTGACCCGCTGGCGGCCCGGGCCGGCCCCTCCTGCTTACCCGGCCGCTGCCCCTTCTGCCGCCTACTCCTCCAGGATGAAGAGAAGGAGGCCTCCGAGCTGGCGCTGAGCCCCAGGGACGGGGGGCCTGCCCCGCACCCCCTCTCCCTCCTGCCCTCCGGCAGCTACGAGGAGGACCCGCAGACCATTCTGGACGACCACCTGTCCAGGGTCCTCAAGACCCCCGGCTGCCAGTCTCCAGGCGTGGGCCGCTACAGCCCCCGCTCCCGCTCCCCCGACCACCACCACCACCAGCAGCAGTACCACCCCCTGCTCCCACCCGGTGGCAAGTTGCCCCCCGTGGCAGCCCCACAGGCCGGTTGCCCCCTCCTCGGTGCCAGGGGCTTCGTGACCAAGCAGACGACGAAGCATGTCCACCACCACTACATCCACCACCACGGCCTCCCCAAGACCAGGGAGGAGATGGAGGCAGAGGCCGCACAGAGGGTGCGCTGCTTCTGTCCCGGGGGCGCCGGCTACTACTGCTACTCAAAGTGCAGGAGCCACCCCAAGGCTCTGGAGCCCGTGCAGGCCGAGCAGTTTGGGTGAGTGTCGGGCGGACCAGAGCGTCCCCGCGGGGTTTTCTCTCCCACCCAGAGCCCCGGCGGGTGCGAGGTTGGGGGGGGGCGGTACAGAGGTCACAGGCATTTAGCTTCCAGGAGGGAGGCGGCGGGGGGGGCGGGGGTGAGGGGGCGGGGCAGGGGAAGCAGGTGCATGGGTCTTTCGTGTCACCCCGCCACTCGCCGACCTGTCCCTATTCGAGGCGTCCCAGAGCTATAACGGGGGCCTCTGGGCTGGGTGTGGTTCTTGGTTCCCCACAGCAACAGAGGCAGTGCCCTGCCCAAGCGAAATGGGAAAAGCGTGGAGCCGGGCCTGGCCCTGCCCGCCAGGGAAGGAGGGGCCCCCGGCGGAGCCGGGGCCCTGCAGCTTCCCGGGGAGGAAGGAGACAGGTCGCAGGATGTCTGGCAGTGGATGCTGGAGAGCGAGCGGCAGAGCAAACCCAAGCCCCCTAGGTAAACAGCACCCGCCGCCGCGGAGGTCTTGTGGGGATGGCTGTTCCTGCAGTCGGCCGAAAACAAATGGGACCGTTTGCTCCTGCCGTCTTGACGGTAAACGTTGGACTGAGCGGACCACAAAAATGCCCTGTTTTGGCACCGCCCCCTGTCCATGTGATGATAGGGTCATTTTTTTTTTTTCCCTCTTCTCTCTCTGAAGGCAGGATAGAGAAGTTTCTACTGAAGTCACATTTTCCAGTTTTTCTAACCCAGTTTCTTTCTTTCTGCTCTCTCTCTCCCTCCTTGCTCAGTGCCCAAAGCACAAAAAAGGCTTACCCCTTGGAGTCCGCCCGTGCGTCCCCAGCCGAGCGAGCCGGCCGGCACCACCTGCTGGGGGGCAGCAACGGGCACCCCCGCTCTGCCCCCCGAGCCCACCCGTTCACCCAGGACCCCGCGATGCCTCCCCTGGCCCCGCCCAACACGCTGGCACAGCTGGAGGAGGCCTGCCGCCGGCTGGCTGAGGTGTCCAAGCCCCCGAAGCAGCGGTGAGTGGTCACGGTGCGAAGGTGAGGGTCCCGGGCGCTCCTCAGGGAGGAGGGACGGCTTCTGGCCGTGTGCGCGCCTCCTTCCCACCTGCTAGAAATTGTTCCTTTTACTTATTTCTGTTTGTTCTGAAGAGCCAGCCAGGATCTGCTTGTTAGGCAAGGCAGGCCCGGGAGGAGAGTGAATTTTCGTCTGTTCCTTAAAAATGCCCCAATCGCGCAAGGCTGGGTAGATGAGCATGTAAGAGGCCCTGACCGATGGCGGATCCAGGGCCTCGGCCCTTTGCCTGGGCTGGCAGCGCCCCGTCCCGGGCTCCCAGGGGGCTTAGGATGGCTATTCCCCGTGGACGGAAGTTGGGTCTATGGTGAGGGCCCAGAGCGTTTGGCTTTTCTGTCTGCTCCCCACTTGCCTTACTCTCCGTCCTCCGCTTCCGCTGTGTCTTCAGATGCTGTGCAGGCGGTCAGCAGAGGGACAGGAACCACTCGGCCACTGGTCAGACGGGAGCCGCGCCCTTCTCCAACCCCAGCCTGGCTTCCGAAGAGTGAGTGTCTTTACCTGACATTGCTGAGAGCCCCCTCATGGTTTATATTTCAAGACATTGACTCCCTGGCCTTGGGATTCTTGAAAACTTTTTCTAGTACATAAAATCCCCTTGATTTGAACAGTAGCCACTAGGAACAGTAAACGCAGCTATTGCAGAAATCAGGATCTTGGCCATAAATCAGGATCTTGGAACCCTGCCCGTGCTGGGAAAAGCGTTGTGACTTGGACAACAGGTGTTGCTTCCTGGAGGGACGATGGCTCAGGGTTCCTGGGTACACACTCCTCAAAAGCTGAGACATGCAGCCGTGAGCAGATGGATAAAAGGGGGTCCCCAGCCCCAGGTGGAAACGTTGCCCTCAGTCAGCTTGCGAGCTAGCAAGTTGGAAGCGTGTCGTCGCACAGAGCAGGAAGGTGCTTCTCCATCACTGCAGAGACCGAGGACAGTCTTTGTTGTTTTGCTTGGGGAGAGCGCCGTGCCTTCCCCAGTAGTGCCATGATTCTTTCCATAAGGTTACGCTCTTGCCAAGTGGGCCGAGAAGCCTGGCTCCGTTGAATTCCAGGATGATGTATTTAGAAAGAAATCGGCTACGGGGGTCTAAAATGGTCTAAATAATTCAAATTTTCTTTCTTCACTCGTTCATCTTGAGCAATGAGCCATATTTAAAGGCCTGCAGCTTTTTTTTTTTTTTTTTACTTAAAGCCACTCTGCAAACTCAGAATAAATGAGGGAGGTCGAAATGACCGAGCTAACCATCCCAGTGGGCTCTGGCGTCCAGGCCGTCCAGGGGATGCTCTGGGTTTGTCTCTACAGCATTCCCTTGTTGGGCTGAGTGAACCCATGGCTCTCTGGCGGCTTCTCCCTGCTTCTTCCTTGGCAAGCACCCCACTTGTGCCATCCCGAAAGAGACCCCATTTGGTGGTAGTGAGGGGAACAATAGCAGTGTGTACAACCCAAAGGAGATTGTCCCTTCCTCGTGCCCCATGCAGATGACCTGGACTGTGGGCCCCCAGAGTAGCTGCCTCTGTGACATGGGAAGGGGGGGAGTGGGGGCCCACACCCAGGCCCCCTTTGAGCTCATAGTTGCAGACTCGCTTTCTCTCCGGAAGAACGTGTTCGAGAGCCTGTGTGCGTGTGTGTGGTATGTGCGCTTGCCGCCTTCAAATGCTGAACTTGTTGCATTCCATCTTCCTTCTCAGTCACAAAGAGCCAAAGAAGCTGGCGGGGGTCCACGCACTCCAGGCCAGCGAGTTGGTCGTCACATACTTTTTCTGTGGAGAAGAAATTCCATACAGGAGGATGCTGAAGGCTCAGAGCTTGACCCTGGGCCACTTTAAAGAGCAGCTCAGCAAAAAGGGAAATTATAGGTAAGAGCCCTGCGGCTTCTTGCTGCTCCGCACTTTGTTCAGAACCAAGAGCCAGAGTTGCTTCCTTGGCCTGGTCAGACCCGGAGGGGCCATCGGGAGGGGGCTCAGGAGGCGCTCAGGGAGGCCATTGGGCTGCCTGGCGCTTCTGTTACTTCTCATTTCCTCTCTCCCCTCGCCACCGACAGAAATAGCAGCAGCAGCAGGAAGACCGCTGGGAGGGCTCTGGGGGGACCTGGATGGGCTTTTTCTACCCAGGTGAACGAGACTCTAAAGGAGAAAGGGGGCTTGACCAGGAGAGCTGGGCTTGGGCCATCTCACTGAGGCCCTTCCCAAAAGGCAGAGAGCGGTGTGTGTGTTTCAGGGAGAGACGGACGGACAGACCGATGAGGAGGCTTGGGTCTTAGGAGAGAGTGTCCACACTGAAGGCTTGGGGAAGGGCAGAGGCCATGGCCTGGAAATGGAGACAGCATTCTCCTTCCTCAGCCTTTCTCCGTGAAGAGCTGCCTCGCGGTGTGGAACGGGTCATGTGAAGCAGAAATGCTCTTGCGTCCGTAACAGAGAGGGGGTTAGGCCCCATGCGTGGGCACCAGCTGGACGGGGCTGGACGCCCGCCCTCCCCCCAGCCCTCCTCCCTGTCTGCGCGGTGGAGACACCCGGCTGGTCTTCTAGGGCCCCAGAGAGGATTCTAGAGCGGGGACCGTTTCTTGGTCACCTCCCCCTGAACGTGGGTGGGGTGGGGGGGGTGATGACTCCACCTGCGTTTATCCAGAGTCCTAGCTGCTCGTTTTTGATGGTCTTCCTCCCAAGGGAATATGTGGGCTCTGCTCCAGCCGTATCTCGGGGTTGCAGTGCGCAGGACCAGGGAGGGGCACGCGAGGTGCCGCGCACTCACTTTAAGGAGGGGCACAGTCGGTGATCAGAAGGTGCCAACCCGCCCCACCTCGAGCCCGAGATGGGAGGGGAGAAGTCTAATAGCACGAGCGACCAGCCAGGTGGGCCCCGGCCCCTGGAGCCCGCCTCCGAGGCCCCAAGACCCCGTCCCTTCCGGAGCAGGCCCTTGAGGCTCTCCCAGCCACTCCACCTGGGAGCTGGTTGGGCCAGGGGCCCAGAGTGATCCCTCTGCAGGGAAAGGCTGGGGCTCGGGGGCTCAGACCCTGTAAGTGACTGAGGAGCAGGGCATGGAGCTGGGCTTTAGAGCTTTCCATTTAACACCAGGGCAGAGACAATTCTGAAAATGTATCCGAGGGTCTGGGGAGCAGGCCTGGCTCCTAATGCTGCTGCTTCTTCCTCTTCTTCTTTTTCTTCTTCTTCTTCTTTTTTTATCTTGAACAGACACAAGGTGAAACTAATTACACAAGTGTGCCCCTCCAGGGATTCATTTTGAGCTCAGCTTTGACTCGGCTGGACTTTGAGTGGAACTGCAGGTGACCTTCAGGGGAGAAGGGCTCTGGAGCGCCCAGTGGAGGCTGCAGGGGGGGCTTCGCGCTCAGCCACTCCAGCCACATCTGGCTCTGATTTTTTTTCCTAAGGCACACTTAATAAGCCTGGCTTTGAAGCCCCGGCCTCCCCTTTAATGCACAAAGACTTGCACAAATGGTTGACTCTCAGATTCTTTACTGATTGGATCAGGCTGTGGCCAGACCCTTCCCAGCCGTCTTATCTCTCTGTACTGGCCCTCCGGCCGGAGCGGGCACATGGAGGCACCGGGTGCCAGGCCCGGCCCTCCCAGCGGGGGTGGTGCCCTGTCTTCCCACGCGCTCCCCCTCGCCCCCCAATAAAAAGCCCAGCGAGGATGGGGCCGCGGAGTGGGGGGACCTGGGCTGCACTGAGTAATCTCAACATGGCAGGGGTTCAAAAGGAGGACAGTCTATCCAGACGTGCCAGACGCTATTGATGCCAGATGTCAGAAGAAAGCGCAGTTTGCCACATAAAGCTTGTTGCAGTGGAAAAGCCCGTTTCTTGGAGAAGATGAGGGCAGCGCAGTGCGTTTGAAGTCTTGGGGCCGGGGCCGAGGGAATGTGGCCTCTCCCCTCTCTGGAAGAGGTTACAGTTCTGAAGAAGGTCACTGTGTGTTTGCTCAGGGGTGCCATGGAAGCCCGACTTGGTAGAGCCGAGGGGTCGGAGCTGGGGGCGCTGAGGGGCATGACTGAGGGTGGCGTCGGAATCGGAGCCTCGTATCAGGAGGGGGCCTCCCCTCGCCACTGTCCGGGGTCCCCTGTGTGCCGTGCCCCTCCCCGTCGCTGCTCGGGCTCCCCAAGTACCCCAGCCCGCTGGACAGGAGGCGTTCTCCCCGCTGCCCCGTCCAGGCCATGCCCTTCACCCTGGTGCTGTGGCCCAGCTGGGAACGCTAACAACAAGGAACCTTGACTAAACCCAGCTGGTTCACTTTATTTAGCCTTATCTCCTATGAAAGTATTTGGCTTCCTTTCATTAAAGAGGAAAGAAGTTGAGCTCTAACCGAGGGGAATTCTTTTTTTTTTTTTCCCTTTTAAATGAAAAAGAGAAAAAAACAACTGTAACCCTGAGACACAAATTTTTTTAGAGAGCTGTCCCCCTCCCCCCAGAGGACCGGGACCCTCCCTCCACGAGTGGCCTTTATTGGCTGAAGGTGACAGCTTGCAGGGGCGAGTTTAATCCATCTGAGGGGTCTCCCTGGAAGGGGCTGGCGAAGGAAGGGGCCGGGGAGTGGGCCTGCCTGGAGGACAGCAGTTGTTTCTGAATGTGGCCCTCCTGAGAGGGGCCGGTCGTTTGCGTCCACACAATTAAACAGCCTTCGAAGAAAGAAGTCTGGGGTGGGATGAAAGGAACCTTTAATCAAGGGGCATAATAGAAGGGTCTTTAGTGTTTGACCCTGGAGGGGAGGGTGCAGTGCCGGGGGGGGGGGTGAAGCGGGGAGAAGAGGGGAGAGTAGCTGGGGCCGGGGCTGTCTGCAACCCTGGGAAGCAAGATGGCGCCGGCCAGCCTCCTGCCGCGTCCACCACGGAAAGCAGCCTGTCCCACGGCTGTGGTAGGGACGGGCCGGAGCAGCGGGCCTGTGGGTGCTGCAGGGTGGGAAGGCCAGGAGAGGTGTGAGCCTTCCACAGACTTCTACAGGTTCAGGGTGGCTGGGCCTCTTGGAGGAGCCCGCCGCCCCGCAACTGTTGCTGCAAATGGACCAGGTGTGCCTTGCCCTTCCCAGCCCCCACACCCCTTCCCCATAAGGGGGGAGAGAAGCAGGCAGCTGTTCTCCGCAGAGTGTGGGGGGGGGAGGGGTGCAGCATTCTGGGCCCAAGACTGCAGGTGGGAAGCCGCTTGGTTGCGCCCCGGCGGCCGGCGCAGATCAGAGGCGGCCAAGAGGTTCACATGCACACCTGCTGCGGCAGAACCCTCAGGACCCCTCCGTCCTCTGTGTTGACATCACCTTTCTCCTAAGCAAAGTAGAAAACGCACTTTTCACCAAGACGCTCTTTGGGTTTTCCTTTTAAGGTATTACTTCAAAAAAGCAAGCGACGAGTTTGCCTGTGGAGCTGTGTTTGAGGAGATCTGGGACGATGAGGCGGTGCTCCCCATGTACGAAGGCAGGATTCTGGGGAAGGTGGAGAGGATCGACTGAGCCTCGGGGGCCGGGCCCCGGCGCGAGCGCGGGGTCACCGCCCGCGCCACCGGTCTTGGCCGTGACGGAACGCGACGAGACATTTTGAAGGAAAACTAAACCAATGAAGAAGACAAAAATCTCGGGAAGAATTGGCCACTGGCCATGCGGGGAGGGTGGGGAGGGCAGGGAGGTTGGTTTTCATTATTCACGAGCTGGGTACTGAGATAAGAAAAGCCTGAACTATTTATTAAAAACGTGACCACTCTTGGCTATTGAAGATGCTGACTGTATTTGAGAGACTGCCATACATAATATATGACCGCCTAGGGATCTGAAATCCATAAACTAAGAGAAACTGTGTATAGCTTACCTGAACAGGAATCCTTACTGCTATTTATTGAACAATTGGTTCCCCACCCCCGTCCCCAGTTTATGGATATGCTGCTTTAAACACGGTAGGGGGAGAGGGGAAGTTTTAATTGTCCTGTCCAAACTTGGGAGTTGAGCTAGGGGCGCATTAATGATTTCTTCATTAAAAGGGGAATTAATTATTCTTTGCCCTGCATTTCTCCAAGTGAAGATAGACTTTAAAATGGTGCCCTACCATTGACACACGCAGAAAATTGGTGCATTTTTTTTTTCCTATGCTGCTCTATTTTGTCATAAAGGTCTTGAGGAGTGATTTATGTTGCGACATCACCGCCATTTGGGGTCATCGTGTGGGATGGGATCCATTGTGGGGTGGGGGGGAGCCTCATTTTGGGGGCCCCAGATTTCCTCAGTAACTCCTAACTCCCCACCCAAGTACCAAATACCCAATGGCTGAGGCCCGCTAGAACCTTGGAGTTCAACTCGTGCTTGCATTGAAACAATTCCTTGGAGTTTTGGTTGGTTGGTTGGTTGGTTTTTTTAACTAGTCTTTTGGCCCACCGCTGTTCTGGAAGCAACCACCCCTCCCCCCTTGCCCTGCAAAGAAGCGGACAGTTGTGGGAAGACCTAGCAGCACCCTTTCCTCCAGACACCTCCATTTTGACGTTCGGGTTTTCGTGTTAAGTTAATCTGTACATTCTGTTTTTGCCATTGTTACCTGTATTATACGTCTGTATATATTGTACAACAGAAGAGTATTAATCCACTATCTCTAGTGCTTGACTTGAAATCAGTACAGTACCTGTACCTGCACGGTGTGCCACTCCGTGTGTCGCCCTATATTGAGGGCTCCAACTTTCCCTTGTTTTTTGAAAGGGGTTTATGTATAAATATATTTTATGCCTTTTTACTACAAGTCTTGTACTCAATGACTTTTGCCATGGCATTTGTTCTACTTATACTGTAAATTATGCATCATAAAGAGTTCATTTAAGGAAAATTACTTGGTACAATAATTATTGTAATTAAGAGATGTAGCCTTTATTAAAATTTTATATTTTTCAAAATGTCCGCTTCGTCTTTGAGTCCCCCGGGGTGGGAGCAGGGCAGAGGTGGCCTTTTGTGTGTGAACACCTGCGCTTTCCCACCTTGCCTGAACCCATCTCTGGCTGACCTTGACCTCTTCTCGCCCAACCTGGCCCTGCCCTGGGGTTTTTGAAGAACTCTGTCTTCAAAGTCACCTGGCTGACTGGCGGCTGATCTTGTCCTAGGGCGGGCTGTAGACAGCTTCTTCTGCCTCTCCCCTTTCCTCTGCCACCTCCATGCAGCCTCTTCCTCGAAGGCAGGTCTCATCTGGCCCAGGTAGGTCCAGGAGATGAGGAGCGGAGGTGGGTTAGTCCCAGCAATACTGGGAGAAAATGTCCAGAAAAATGGCACGTGGGTCTGGAATGTCCAGTGGAGCTGGTGAACCTTGAGCTCAGTGCTAACCAGCCACCCTCTCCGTAGCTGTGAGTGACCTCAGCTGATGCCTTCAGCAAGGGGCCGGCATTATTGAGGGTCCAGGCTGGAAAAGGGGTGGGAAAAAAAGGGGGGTTCAGCAAGAAAACCTAATGGTTCACCGGACTGTTTACTTCGTGTGGCCATGGAAGTCGGCTGACCGTTGTTCACTCAAACTTGGTTTACCTCCCTGTGCGCTGAGCACTCGGAGGTCGGGCTGTGTTTCCGATCTGGGAGAGCAGGCCTAGCTACCTAGAAGAGTCCTGTAAGGAACCCATTTTAAGAAAGAAGGGGTCTGTTGGACTTGGCTTCTCACGTATGGAGTTTTCCTGCGGTGGGGTCTGCAGCAAATCTGGCTAGCTTTCTGTCCCCGTTGGACAGTAAGGCCAGGGTCCTGGCCGCGTGGGGTGAGGGGCCGGCTGGAACGGGGCCAGCCTCAGGGCGTCAGGGTTAGGAGGCATGGGGCAGCTGCTGGCGGGGCAGGCCAGGGCGTGAGGGAATGGGACACCGGGCTGCAAGAGTCCTTGATCTTGGTCCTAATGATGCAGCTTGCTGCACCCGCCCCTCCTGGCTGGAATGGGGGCTCACAGCAGAGGTATCCCGAACCCACTTCCAAATTGTAAGGTTCTTTCCAACCCGAAAGGACCAAGAGATTGAACCTGGTGTGGGTGGGGCGTTAGGGCTTTTAATCTTCAGGCCTTTTGAGTCATCCCATGAAAATAATGGGATAAAACACAGGCCTGGGGCTCAGACAAAGTCTAGTGGACCGTGGGCATCTGTGAGAAAGCGAGCCAGCCCAGGCGATGGACCATTCACGTTTGCAGCCCTTCTAAGAGGGCCCATTCCTCTGCCTCTCACATTTTAACAATCAGGCGTGCTTCACCTGGCCTGATGGGGGGCTTTCAGCTAGAGCAGAGCCTTGGCCCCAGAGCATCTTTAAGTTTTCATTAAAGCTATTACTTTATACAGTACTTGGGAATTCTGTGTGGACTCTCACCTAGGGTGACAGACAGTTCATGTAGGGAGGCTTGAAATGTGGGGTTTTGGGAAAAGGATCCTGTTCTACTCTCCCCCTGCCCCCAAATATGTTGGGATCAAAATTGTGCTGTCAAAGAAGGAAATTGGCAATTACCCCAAAGAAAATATTCCAGTCTATTTGAATAATTAGGTTAGATTTGTTGTTGTTGGTTTTCCTTGTTGTTCGTTTTGGTAAAGAATAGTAGTCCTTTTTTTTTTTTTTAACCTTTAAAAAATCATCTGGTTGTAGAGGAACTCCCCAAATAACGTAGATGATTCCAAAGAGGGATTCACACCTTCCTTAGCATCATTATTCCACGTCATCAACCCAATTTTCTAAAAATCTGATAATGAGAGTGAGCCTCTACTGTATTCTATGGCTTGTCCCAGGAAGGGGGTCCTCCCGCTGGATAACGCCCAGTTCTGAAAACATAAATTTCCCGTGCTTCATCCACACCAACCTTTAACTTCCCCTAACATTGCTCTGCTGCTCAGAGCCTTTGCATATGCTGTTCCCTCTGCTGGGAACACGCCCCCTCCCTCAGCCCTTCTTGAGGTTGTGTGCCTTTCAGCCTTCAGGTCTTCACTTAAATGTCAGAGGTCCTCCCTGACCATCGGGTCCACGTATGTCCTCACCTGGTCCTCCCTATACAGAAGTTCCTTCGCCTGTTCACAGCACATTCTCCTTTGTCACTAGACAATAAGGATTTCGTTGCCCACTTATTCACCCATGAGGCAGGGAGTAGACATACTTCTATTTACCACTATGTATGTAACAGCCAGCACAGTGCTTGGTGCCTAGTAGGCACTCAATATTTATAGAATTGATGCAAAAAAAGAAAATAGAAATTGCCAATAGCAATTTTAGTATCACCTATAATGAAAATAATCACTATTAACACTTTACGGTATCCTTCCAGGTTAAAACACACACACACACATACACACACACACACACACACATTGGACCGCGTGGTGCACATTATTTTGTAGTCTGTATTTTTCACTCAGTAACAAGTCATTGGCATATTTCCGTATCAATAATGTTCTTCTGCATTGCTCTACAACATGACTTAAATGTATGGCTGCATTTATTTAACTAATCACATATGGTTGGACATTTATATAGTTTACAAATTCTGCAATTATAGGTCACATTGTAATGAAATCTTTCTAGCTAACCACTCAGTATTCATAGCTAAATCGTCTTCAGTTATTAGGATGAAGGTTTTCCATGTAGAATTTCTGGATCAAAGGTCCTTTTTAGGGCTTTGGCCGCTTCTTGCCAGCCTGAGACGCCGGCTTGTCTCTGCCTCTCCAGTGTCTCACTCACAGTTGGCCCTCGAGCCACGGTGGTACCAGCCCCTTAAATCTCAAGCCTGCACAGTCAAGGCTCCCCCCAGTCTGAGCCGAGCCTGCCTGTCTGGGACGATCGCCGTTTTCAAGCTGGGTCGCCTTGAGCAATGAACATCCCTCCACCTGGGTCTGCCACTTTGTAAACTGAGGAGCGTCACGAGCATCCGTCATAGGCTGATGGAAGTCGCTAAGGCACACACAGTTCTTGGCAGTGAGTCTAGCCTCGTACACGTCAGCTGCTACGATCACCCACTGATCCCCCCCCGTCCAGTCTTTATAACCGACTCTGCTCAGCCCTTTCCCTCCTTTCTCTCACCTGTGATACGCACACCCTGGTGTGCCCCCCCGCCCCGGCCCCACGCTCCTCCCTGCCCCCGCCCCAGCCTCCCCTCCAGAATCCAGGTGCTTTCTCCGGGGCTCAGCCTGTGCTCACTTCTGTTTTTTTCTTCCTCCTCCCCTGAGTTGTAAGCCACTTCGAGGCCAGGGTCTGTGTCTGTGTCTCAGACTTTGATGTACAAGAGCTTTATGGATAGGGGTGCCTGTCTGGCTCAGTTGGTGGAGCATGTGACTCGTGGGGTTGTGAGTTCAAGCCCCACACTGGGTGTAGAGATGACTTAAAAATAACATCTTTAAAAGAAAAAAATAAAGAGCTTTACAGATAAAAAGTCACCCTGGGTGATACAGAGAGTGCCGGGTAAGACTTCTCCAGATATCCTGTGACCACACACGACCCTTCTTAACCCACCATCTGACTTTGCTGCATTTTCCCCAAACTCAACTTTGGACCAAACTATGTTGTTGGGAGCCCCCGAGCCTTTCATGCTCTTTGTATCAGACATGGTACATGGAGGGGGTCGGGGGAGGATCCGATGCGCACAGGCTTTGAGGTTGGCTTTCTCTCCCACTGTCTCCCAGTGATCTCCACAAGAAGACACTGGAAACCAGCCATGAACGGTGTTGTGGGTAAGGTTGCCCCAATTAGCAAATTAAAATACAA